TCTGTCACTTGGAGAAGAAAGTTATCATTGACGCATTCCAACTCTGGTTGTTATACAGGGAGCACGTCAGGCTGCCTTCCTCAGCTCCAGCATCTCTCCTGATGTGGGGAGTCTTTCCTTTTCAGTCTGCAGAGTGGTGAAGCGGTTCTGCACGTCAGGCTTCGGGGGAAGTCTCTTCCTCCTGCTGGTCCTTGCCATCTCAAGCTTCCATTCTTCTGCATTACTGGACCCCGTTCCTTCTCTGTGTACTGGTGGGCGAGTTTATAGCTGTTTGGCTATGGGCTGTGCAGAGTGCACTTGGAAACATCTATCTAACTCCTCATTCTCCCTGATGTTTCATAGCCTCCTGCAGCTCAGCCACCTGCTGCAGGATGTACTCCACCTGGGCACACCTTTTGCAGGCAGGCCTGCCACCCATCCCTGCCCCAGGAGAAAGGTCTGGGCACATCCTGCAGCCTGAGGTCTGCACTGCAGCCTCTCCCTTCAGCAGCTCCACCTGGGTGGAGTCATCGGCCACTGCTGGGGTAGATGGTGCAGACCCCCCAGCCCGAGCTGCAGCCTTTGCTCTCAGATGAGTGCCCACCATTCTGCTTGGAGGGTCAGGTAGGATGGGTGCCGTTGACCTGTCACAGAATGCTGCCCAGTTGCTGGGTTATGTGAACTTCAAGACTCCCACTCAGCCAGTGGAACGCCCCTCCTTCAAAGAGGCACCCTCCCTGTGTGCCCTCCCTCACAAACTGCTGTGCCAACTATCACGCCATACCCTGTCTGCTCGCTCTGTTCACAGCACTCCTGGTGGCCAGTGCTGTCTGGGCTGCCTTATGCAGGTGTGGGGTGGCAACCGTGGCTCTGCCTGGGCAATGCCCAGGCCTCATCAGCATCTCCTGTGCGAGCTGCAGGCTCCTGGTGGGTCTCTCTGCTTCCCCTGGTGTCTCCTGGCCTCAGGAAAACCCTGTGTGGCAAGACCTGCTGCTCCGCTGTGGGCTGGGCCAGCTCCAGGGCAGCTCCCCTCAGCAACTTTTTCAGTATCTCTTCCTGACAGATCTTACTGAGATCCAGAAAGAGTCCTGTACCAGGCTTCCCGCCTATATGCCTAGATATACATACAAAAGAATATTTTTTCTAAAACATGCTTTGTTAGGAAATTTGATCTATATTTCCTAAGATCTTCTCCTGCAGGGTTTCTTCAATCTCTGCACATCTTGTGAATCTCTGGCCCCTGATGAAGAAGCTCACACAGAAACCATTTGTATCTACATCAAAGTGAGCGTGAGAGAAAGTTTGTTACATCCAGAAGACAATTGCTTTACAACTTCTCTTCCATGATCCCTTCCTCCTCATCAAATGTCCTAACTGAATCTGGAAGTTTTCCACAGCTCTCTGACATTTAGAAAAACTTGAGGCTGCAGAACCAGGTACAATCCAAAAGTAAAAAGTATCATAAGAAAACTAAAGCCACTTAGCTACATTCCAAAAGTAGCTATTGGTGAAAGAGCTAATAGCTTCTTACAGACTAGTTCTATAAGAAACTTAACATCCATGTAAAAGTCCTTAGTATGCATTGTGCAGCACAGCCTAGACCTCAAGAAGGATTTGGTTACATCTTGAAAGGTCATGTATTACAGAACACTCACCTGCAAAAGAAAGATAGAGAAAAGCAACTCTCCCAATTACCGCCTAAGCATTTTTCAAAACTAGGAAGTAGCTAAATGAGCTTAGCATGCACTCTGCTAAAGGTGGCAAGTACATATAAAACAAGAGGAGACGGTGCATTTGGAGTTTCTTGTAGCAAAAATACAGAGTATGACTATTAGATTTTCCTCATATTAATTCTTATCTGACCAGCTTCTGATCTGTCACAGTCAAAAGACATTTCATGGGGCTCAAAATGAAGCACACATCCCAAAAACAGAGTGTTGCCCACCTACAAAATAGAGTTTTATTCATAAAAATGTGATTCCAGCCTAGACATAACATCCCCTCCCACCTTATCCCCTGATATCCAAAGTGCTAACACCTCTCTAGAAATAGATTTACATATCTGTTGATTAACTTACTTTGAAATATCTTTGCTGTCACGTTGCCATGGAAATATGACATTCCCAATAGATGCCCGGTAACTGTAGATTCCCAGGAGCCCGAGTGCCATAGCAATTTTTGAAGCCAGTGAGCATCTTCTTTGAACCAGAAAGAAGATCATAAGTAGGCAGACTGCAGCCAAGAAGGAGAGTTCAGATTTATGTTCAGAGCTGGAAAAAAACCCACAAAAACTCCCTTCACATCACTGTAATTACTGCTAAACACATTTGATAAAGCCTTAGCTACAGCACTGTATTTCCAAATTAATCACTGCACTGACATCTGTTATAAACTTTCCAAGAAGTATGATAAAAAGTTTAGTATTTTTAGAAAAACAGGTTTATTAATGAGGTTTTCTATTCAAGCATGCATGTTTAAAAGTGTAATTACTGTGTTCCACCATAGGCAAGCTATTTTGTTAATTATGTAAAAACTGAGGTGCATATTGCATAATGGCAAAGGGTCTAATGCTTTTAAACTAGGCATTTGTAATTTATACATTTTGAAACAGTACATTTTGCTTATACTACAGCATTTCATTTTCTAGCATACAGCAGAAAATATTCTTGCACTACAGAATTAGAACTATCCTCCCTTTTTAAATAACTGCATATGTATTTGATTTGTTTAATTTTCAACATACAAAACATTACCTAGACAAAATGACCAGAAATATACTTGCATAGTTTAAAACATACACACGCAAACACATTAGCACAATGATTCTCTTATGCAACTACAGAACCTTGTACTGGATCAATACATACAAGAGATAAAGACACAAAATTTGCATCATGGCCAAGAAGATTACAGATACAGTTTGTATGATCCCCCGCATCCTAAATAGGTAACACTCATTCCAGAATCAAGGGCGTTTCATTGAGCATGCTGCCAACAGTATGTATTTAAATCTTCAGTGATATCAATTAGCATTGCAAAATGTAATGGGGTAAAGATCTGCACTGAACCCCTACCATAGCTAGCTATGCTATTTTAGAAAGTCCACTGTAATCCAAGAATTGCTAACTCTTTCCTACTGCAAATATTCCCGGTATCCCAAATGACCTACAACAGCTAATTTTGTTAGATTTACCTTCTGTTAAGAACACCACGTAGAGTGTGAAAGCCAAGGGCTCCATCTTCTGTCTTCCACACTTCAAAATGCCATGACAAAAGATCACTGACTTCAGCAAACTGACAATGAGCCTGGGCTCTTATCTGCATTAACTCTGACCACACTTACGAAACTCAAGTTTTATCTTTGATTTAATCAGAATTCTAGTACTTCAAACAGGTTACTTTCCTATTCTCTAGTATATGCTTTATCAGGAGTTTGACCCAATAGCTGTTTCAGCTGTTGTGCCTGGAAAGTCACAGAGGAAAGGATACGGGGCAGAAAAATTGCCCTGTTAGTTCTGCCTGTGGGACCCAGTCAAGCACTTTATACAAGTTAACAAGACTGCCAAGAGATGCACTACTCTCTGCAGGCCAGTAAAGTGAGAGGAATAAGAACTAGAACACTATTGGAGAGAAAATGTAGTCTTGATGTTTCTCCTCACCATTGTTCTTCCTCTGCAGGAGGAGGCAGTAGAAACAGTGAAGGGATTGCTGCAGCCACCTGTGAAGACAGTGCATGCACCATCTCTCATGATCAACACATAAAGAATTAATTTAGTAGCCACTGTATCTTTCAAATGAACCTTTGTAGAAAATTTCAGAAACTTTCAGGCTATAATTTCCTTGGCTGCATATTAAATTAGCACATATTTTGTAAGGGATTGTACTTGCTCAACACAGAGTCCAGCCATTTAGCAAAGTTCTAAATGGTTTTGAAATTCTACTCAGAAATTCAAGCATGAAATTGCTACTCTGATCTCAGCTGAAATGTAGTGGGTTTTGTGCAAATGACAAGATTGAAAGTGAAGAAGCAATAGTTTCCTGAGAGAGAATCTGGGGAAGGGGAATGGGAAAAAAAAGAGAGCTTCGGTACATGTTCTTACTATAACATCTATGGTCTACACTGTCATACTTCTGATATCAGAATGAAGACTGAATACATTTCCTTCCACTGCTTTGACCTCACCTCACTACTGCAAATACAAGTAGAGTGAAAGGAATTATAAATGTGCACGATTCATATTTTATGTGGATAAAGCCTTTTTTAATTGGTTACTTTCATTCTACTATGTACAATAGAATACATAGGAGTCACATGGTATGCTACCTTTGGGGGGGAAGGGCACTTGGGGATGGTTAAGTACATTATTAAAATAAAATATTATCATCTTCCCATGCTGCTGCTTCTCATCGCTTCTCTTCAAGCTGACACTGCCATTGACAGCTTTGCCCCTTCCACAGTGAGCCATGAAGCAGCACTGGCACCTTCCAAGTATCAGTTCTGACCAAGATTAACAGCCAAATGAAGCTACCTGAATACCAACTAATTAAATAGAAAACCTGACTTCCAGGCAAATTTAGGGATTGCATGTTCTCTTCCACTTAATCTACTGTCTGATTTTCTTTTGCCCCCTTTCCCACCAAAGCCTTTTTTTTTTTTTTTTTGCCTTTGTAGCAGGTTTCACAGAGTCTCTCTGCAAATAACAAAGAACATTTTCCTTATTTCAGCGCTGTTGGATGCACTCCTAATAGCCAAATTCAACACACTAGAAGTAGATTGATTTTCTATGGTTTGCTGCTTACGTTTTTCCATGCACAAACCTACACAATAGCCTCTTTGTCTCAAATGCTGAGCTCCTTAAGCACTGTCCAAATAAGCAAAATATTAGTCAGAGCATGAGCACAGATGTCTAAAAAGTCAATACAAGGGATAAAAAGAAGAGGGTAGTTTGTTCATCAGTTTATCTTAAAGACAAATTAGAAGGCTGCCTAGAAAAAAACCTGAGCAGCTTTAACTCAAACTGAGAAGGGTACACATGATCTAAGTAAGGTTCTAATTTCTTATTACTAAAAAATGTGCTATTAAGATATAACTATGCAAATTAAACACATACTAAAAATAGAATAACAATCAACCTTACAGACTAGCAATGCATTTTGGGAAGAGGAATAAGTGCTTTATGCAACTCAGCTTATCACCAACTTTTAATTTATGCTATCAGGAAAACACATCATCTCAGTCCTGATCAAAACAGTAGGGAAACAGACATCTCTACCACTCTGTTCTCTTGTGAAGGAGAAGCAACAAAGACATTAAAACCTCCAACCAAAGAAAAGGCAAGCATGCTTGCCAAATAAGAATTCACAGATACTCTACAAACCATGGGATGTACAAAGATTTAGTTGCATCGTTGCCTCATCTTTCCAAAGCTTGTCCAGTGAAACATTTCAGACCCAAGAACTCACCTACATCCCATCACTCAAGTCCAAAAACTGTGCACTTCAAATGCTGGTATTTGGGCAATCTTTTAACGCTATAAAGCAAGTGAAGTATATGTCAGCATGGTGACATATATTGTATTCTCCTGTTAGGCTAAAAACTGCTCCATTGACTTAAGTCAGGATGTAGCTCCACAGCAGCCCAAGCCAACCTGTGCGAGGGCTGCCAAGGTTCTGCTCTTTCACCTGCTCCCTAAACACGACAGAAGTAGCTACACCAACGAAAGGGAGAAGGCAGAACTGTGGCACCCCAACGACACATTCTCTTAGCCTGCCAGGCACAGCACTCCACAATCTTTTTAAAGCCCCCAAAAGCAGAAGTTTGTGAATCATTAGTTCTTTCTCAATCAGATTTGAAAGGCAAGTGGGTATTTGTAAGGAATGCTTGATAGGGGCAGAAAGAAAAAATGTTTATGTCCACAGCACTTCAAAAGATGCAGATACTACCACATTTGTTTCTACAGGAATTTCAACAGCAGCAGTGCTGGCTTGCAAACTCTTCCTGCATTCCTGTTACTAAGCCAGCCCAAGTGCCTGTGAAGCTGGACGGTAAATCAGAGTGGGAAGAGATCCATCTGAAAGCCAAGAGTTTTCCACCCTGTCTTGGGTTATTTTCCCAGCCACATCTATTCAACAATTTTGTTCACCACACTGACAAAGCAACAGCTGTGCTGGTATAATACAGAACCAGTAAGGGGAGGTGGAAGACAGCAGGTACCTTGCCTTGTAAGGCAAGAGCTCCTTTAATATACCATGATAGTCAAACAAGCAATTGTAGCCTAAGACTAGAGCTGTAGGACCTTTTCTCCTCTACTTGCTTCAAGACTCAAGCAAATATACTCAAGGTGAAGCTGTAATTTGGCGGGGAAGCACATGGAGCAATTCACCTGTAAAATTCTAAAGTTTTGATATGACATCTAGCTGCTGTACTTCAGCCTCACTGAAGGGGGATGCAGACAGCTTTAATAATGGGATTGCAATGGCTTTATGAAGGGGAAGTAATACTTAATCAACCTAACAGACTTCTGTGATGAGATGGCTAGCTTGGTGGAAGAGCAGAGAGCCGGCAATGTTTTTTATCTTGGCTTTAGCAAGGCTTTTAATACCATCTCCTGTAACATCCTCACAGGCAAACTGATGGGAGTCCAGGCTAGGAAAGTGGACAGTGAGATGGACTGAAAACTGGCTCAGCTGCCAGGCTCACAGGGTTGTCAGCAGCAGCACAAAGTCCACCTGGAGGCCAGTCACTAGTGATCAACCCCAGGGCTTGACACTGGGGCTGATACTGTTTAACATCTTCGTAAATGACCCACACAACAGGGCAGAGTGTGCCCTCGACAAGTGTGCACACAATACAGAACTGGGAGCAGTGGTTGATACAGCAGATGGGTCTGCTGCTACTCAAAGGCACTTCAGCAAGCTGGAGAAATGGTTCAGCA